AGACTTAGTACCAGTACTTAGCATTTAACTTAGTAGCATGACCTCATGAAAGGAACAGAAAAAAAGTATAGGAAAAAAGATATGACCAGGTGCACTAATCACTGAAGACATAAAGAAAAAAAAGGATATTAGACGTACATTTGGGGAATGTAACAAGAAATGGTGGGTGGGCTAGGTAGGAAATGTGGATAATGGGAGAAGACCCAGATCATCTTAGTGTATACAAAACAAACCATACAAACTAAAGGCTAACTTAAAGTAAGAATGAAAAGAACAATATGAAATAAATCAATGAGAGAAAATGCAAACAAATCCATTATAACCCTAAATGGAAATTGATAAAATGCCCCAGATAAAAAGATAATTGGAAGATTGTTAGTTGCACACAAATGATACATTTAAAACAAACAGATACTTAAAGAGTGAAAATGATAGACTGGAGCAAAATGTATTCTTCAAGCAATGATAAATCATACCATATGATAAAGGAAAAATAAACATTTATATGCTTAAATCAGTGAAATCACAAGTCAAAAAACAAAGCAAAAACTGAGAAAAAGAATCAAGGAAACTACATTACATTTTTTAAAACAGTATGGTCAATGAAAAAATATATAATTATTAAACATATTCACTAGATGACAAAAATATCTAAATTCTTAGAGCAGTAAATTTTCAAATAAAATACTGTTAACAAAACAATGACCGTAGAAGTCATTAAAATTCTTCATTGCAGGATAAATGAATTCAAAATATTGAGCTGAATAAATTCAAAAGAATAATGAAAAAGAATGAACACATGGAGATCAACAACTTGTCAGAAAAAATGTAATTTAAAAGATATCTGGTGATTTTTTAATGTAACTATTAAAGAATATATATGATTTTTCTACCTTTATAAATTAATCGCATTCTAGACATTAAAATTAATGAATTAGGATACAAAAGCAGACATAATGAGCATCTTTTATGGACCATAACACAGTAAAATAATTAAGATAGGAAATGAGTAAAAGATTATGACTATAGAGAAGCTGAATAATGTCTTACTGTATAATTAATAGATCAAAGAGCAAAACATAGGAAAAATGAATATATCATAGAGAGTGACAATGATGAGACAATAGATGAAATTTGTGGGATGTAGCTAAATGTTCCTAGGGAAGAAAAAATATTATCTCTGAAAATGTATTCTATCAAATATAGAGAAAGAAAAACATATTAACAACTTAAGTGGAAGAGAGGATCAATGACTTGAATATAAAATGTAAAAAAGTAAAAAATAAATTAATTAATTAACAACTGAGATAAATACAAAAGAAGTCTTTTCAAGGACTTCAATATTGATCATTAACTTCAAATCTAATGTAAAGTCTTTGATTCTTTGATTCCAAAGAGTTATCTCAACCCTGCTCAAACTGCATTCATACTTTTTATTTATGGAGGGACTCAATGGAAGTGTTCTCATTTGATAAACTTATCAGGGCTAAGTGGGAGTGATTGATTAGAATTGTTTATCTGGTATCTCCACTTTAATTAGTAGGTTTTGTCCCCAGGTAAAGATAAGTTAATTTCCATTCAATTTTGAGATAGTATTTGCTAATAACTAGTGAACTATACTATGCAGGAGAGGAGGGGGATGACAGAAGAGAGCCTCAGAACACATAGCCCTAAATTTAACCAGGAGCTTATTTTAATGCTCTCTTTTTCACACTGGAGGCACAGTCAGGGGCTTCATTAAAAACAAACATGTTAATCTCATAAATCAAAATTTTCCCTCAGACGACCCCCTCTCACTTGTGATTTCATGTATATATAATAGCCCTGTTGAGGACACTTTCTCAACAATGTATATTGGCAACCACTATGACACTTTATAGTTTTAGAGAGCTACCTTGAGCATTTAGAAGTTAAGTGACTGTCCCCAGTCCCAAATTCAGTAGGAATCAAAAGTGGAACTTGAACGTAAGCCTTCTTCAAGTCAAATTAACAAGTACTTATTAATTAATTCCTATGTACCAAGCACTGTACAAAGTACCAGGGATACAAATATAAGGAGAAAAAAAGACAAATTCTGCCCTAAAATAACATATTCTAATGGGAAAGATAACACATAAAAGGAAGCCAAAAGGAGTAAGACGGAAAGAAATGAAGGTCTTGGGTTTGGAGCATGGTGGAGAAAGTTTGGAAGATTCATCACAAGGTTGGCCACTAGAGAATATTTTTTTCAGTCCCAGCAACTCATTATAATGTCTACTAAGGCATAAAAAATTGTGTGTTTTGCATCAGTGGAGGTTATATCCCCACTGCTTAAATCATGGTCTTTAAGGAATTTTGCAGTATAAGAATAATTTTCTAAACTCTTCCTTTTCTCAAATACTGGTTTGTGTATGCATATGTGTGTGTTTTCTTGAGTTAATGCTATAGAATAAAAGTAAAATTTTCATATCAAAATGCCACTAATAATAGCTGGCATTTATATACAGTTTCAATATTTGTAATGTGCTTTACAATTATTATGCCATTTTATCCTAACAATAACTCATGGAGGTGTAGGTACTATTATTATCCTCATTTTGCAGATGACAAAATTCAGGCAGAGAGAGGGTAAGGTATGTGGCTGGGGCTGCACAAGCTAGTAATATTGAATTTGAACTCTAGTCATTCTGATTCCAGTTCCAGCACATTGTGTCATCTACCTGATTATACTGCAACTGTACTAACAATGTAAACACTGAAATTCCAGTTCTCCTATAAAACAGAGAACTTATTTGTAAGCAATATAATTTCCTTTCACAACTTCAATAAAAATTTTGTGGTGATAGTTCATGAGATATTGGAGAGCTGAAATAGGACTTTCCCTTTGCATGTATTTTTTTTCAAAATTTTCTGTAGCAATGATTAAAGGAATGAGCAACTTCTCATTTTTAAATTCACTTTTTGATAATATAATATAATTGCTGAAATATTTGAAATAGATTTAGGGTAGAATTAATGCTTCTTTATCTTTACGTTATATTGCATCCAAAATTTTCACCTGTGAATGTCAAACTACTGACTTTGAGAAAGAAGACCTCTCCTGAGAGGCAGCAAGGCTTAATAATAGTGGGCTGGACTCAGAGACATCCCCCTCCAGGTTACTTTTCTTGTGCTGCAAGCCTTTCTCTACATTCTCACCCTGGAAGATCACTGAACCCTGGTCTTCACTTCTCTGGTAGTACCCTCTGTTCCTCCGCATCTGATTGGCTCATTCTTCCCTTCATTTTAAGGACATCAGGGCCAGCTATGTCTTCATTCCTCTCCAGGGTATTATCTGTGTGACCTTAACCTCTATAAGCCCCAGTTTTTCACCTTTAAAATGAGACGTTTGGACTAGATGCCCTCTGATATCTCTTCGAACTGTAAATATTTGATTCTATTATTTTGTCAATGTAAGCACTTCCTCCATGGGTAAGGGCTACAACCACTCCATTTCTTTTCATCCTCTGCAATCCTTGTCCATGTACATCTATACTTATCTGCTCCCAGATAATCTGTATAGCACATTATTCATGGCCTTCTCTATGCCTTTTAATATATGATGAAAAGAAAGTTCATCACAGAGGCTGGTGTCTCTCATTCTCAGTTCATTAATGGCTTGCCTTCTTTTTTGCTCACGCATGTCTTCAGCGCCTTTTATACCTCTTCCTAGACTCACATCATCACTGGTAATATGCTGCAGCCTACTTAGACCACCATGTGTCTTTCTATTGTCTTTTGGGTCATCCACAATAGGGATGCTATGGATAATACTAACTAGTTCCACAATAAGCAACCTACCTATTGTTGTCCAGTTCATACGTTAGCTTTCCATGTCTTGTCACCAGCCAGAAGGGATTTTATACTTCATTAAGCTCAGTACCAAATCAGGAGTCAGAAAGACTCATTTTCCTGAGTTCAAATCTGGCCTCAGACACTTACTAACTGCATGACCCTGGGCAAGTCACTTAACTTTGTTTGCCTCAGTTTCCTCATCTATAAAATAAACTGGAAAAGAAAATGGCAAACCACTCCAGTATCTTTGCCAAGAAAACCCCAAATGGAGCCACTAAGAATTGGACACAACTGAACAACAACAAAATGTTGAATCTGTTATTTGGTTTAATTGCTTATATTTATAATCATTAATATATTGAATTTCTGTTAAACAAGATATAACTATTTTCATTATCTTCTCTTGGGGCAGCTAGGTGGCACAGTGGATAGAGCACTGGCCCTGAAGTCAGGAGCACCTGAGTTCAAATCCAGCCTCAGACCAAACACTTGACACTTACTAGCTGTGTGACCCCGGGCAAGTCACTTAACCCTAACTGCCTAAAAACAAAAAACAAAAAAACATTATCATCTCCACCAGAACTCAAGGTTAGAATTTATCAGTTAGTTTAAAACCTTAGTAGCTCTTTTGCACTACTCTGTTTTTTATTTGTTTTGTTTTTTAATTTTGTCTTTGTATCTTCAATGCCTAGAACAATGCCTTTTTTCATTTGGGGATCTGAACCTGTGATTCAGAGTAGAGTGGGAAACTTGTCTTCCCCTTCCCCCCAATAAATAAACACAAATTGAAAATTCTAATTAATACTCTAAATGATTTTCCTGTTGCACTGTGGTTAAGTGATTTGCCCAGGGTAACATAGCCAGTGTGTATCAAATACAACATTAGAAACCAGATCTTTTGGACTCTAAGGCCCGTACTCTATCTAGTACATAACAACATTAACTTGGGCAGAATTTAAATGCTCTGAACAGGTTGGAAAATATTAAAGTTGATAAGGGTGTGGATTATCTGGTGAAACAAGTTTCTTTTTTTTTAATCATCTATGGATTTTCTCATCAAAGATTGATGGTTCTTATTGGTTTTGTGTGTAAATGGTCTAAAGATGTGTGTCTAAATATAGCATGCTTTCAGCTTCTAAATTTTCTTTGATGGGTTATTTTAATAAATCCTTTGTGGTGCTCTCCAGGGAAAGGTGATGTGTTTGGAGATATCTTCTGGAAGGAAACCACCCTTGCCCATGCTTGTGCCAATGTCCGGGCATTGACATACTGTGACTTACACATCATCAAACGGGAAGCCTTGCTCAAAGTCCTGGACTTCTACACAGCTTTTGCAAACTCCTTCTCCAGAAACCTCACTCTCACTTGCAATCTAAGGAAAAGGGTATGTTGCATTATGTTCACCGTGATAGTAATAATGTTAATAACCTGTCACAACATATAAGATGAAGAGAGAAATTTGATTTAGCTTTGCAGAGCTACATCTCTCTAAAGATAAAGTAACACAACTTTATGTTTCCTTTTTACTTTTTTAGGGGGAAAAAGGTAAGGAAAATTTACTATGTATTATTTTAAATATGAACCTTCATGGTCTTCTAAGATAAGCAAGTTATAAAAAACTAAGAGGATAAATTAATGGACTGTATTAAAACGGAAAATTTCCTAAAATTGCTTTAATGCCAAATATATAATTAATTGAAAACCAATGTCTTACATTTTCACTATTTATATCTATATCTATATCTCTATCTATCTATCTATCTATCTATCTATCTATCTATCTATCTATCTATCTCTTTTTTAATGGGAAGGTAAGTAAAGCTTGCTGAATGCTTGATGTTCCTGGCTTTCTCTAAAACCGTTTTCTCATTTCGTAATCAAGCCAAAGAGCATATTATCCTTTAGCCCTTTAAAAGAATACTCCATCTCAAAAATTAATTATCTTTATGGACATATCTTACAAGCACTTTAGGTTTAGAGAAGCTTTAATTTGTAACATAGCTGAGGGCTTAGTCTTCATTACCTCTGTCTTCATCACCTTTGTCTCTTTTATTGAAGAATGCAACAGAAATTTGATTTATATGAAGGGATCTCCTAATTTAACTTATAGCCTGTAAGGCAGACTGATGACTCTTTTGTGGCTAATAATGAAATACATTTTTGGAAAACTGCACCTAAGAAATTTCATCAGAAATTATTGCCTCTCTTGTGAAACATTTCAAAATAGCTAAAAACAATTCAGAAGCAGCATGACTTAGTGGAAAAAGGATTGGCCTTAGAGTCAAGAAGATTTATATCAAGACTTGCCTCTGGCACAAAGCTGCTGAGTCACCATGGACAAGTCAGTTGTCTAAACTTCCAATGAGTTGCTTGTCTGCATTAGCAGAAGAAGTTTTCACACAAGGGTTTCCCTCAGAACCATGAATTATAGTTCCAGACCAAAATAACAACTACAAAAACCTTTACTGTTAGTTGTAAACAAATGTAAAATTGATTATGGAAGATAAATTAGCATAGATACTATTACAGAATAGAGGAACACAGCATAAATTAGTATGCCACAAAGTATTATTATTATCATTATCATTATCATTATCATTATTATTATTATGTATAATAATTATAATAATGAAAGACTTGCAAATTGCCTTACCAAAAGGACTTCATTCTATCCTCACAATTCTGGGAGGTAGATCTTATTAATATTCTCATTTTATAAATGAGGAAACTGAGGCAAATAGGGTTTAAATGACTTGACCAAGATCATATAGGTAGTAAATATTAGAGTCTGAATTTAAACTCAGGTCAGTCTATTAGTGGGTTTGAAAAAAGAATGAAGTGTAATTAACTTCTTAGGGTTCCAAGAGAGGAAATAGTGGCTGAGTTAATTTAGTAATTTTGCATAGTTAATGAGAAAGGTTTGGATTTCCTAATTGGCTCAGATATCAATTAGATAGATAGAAATTGACATTGATATAATTTTAATTAACCCCAGTGTTTCTGCCACAACTGCCATCCATCCCACAATTGTTTAAGATGTAGAAGTCTGTAATTTATAAAATGTTAAAAACAAAGCCATATACCAGAGCATTTCCCAAAGAATAGCAACAGACATTAATGGTTTCAAATAAGATTAGACACATTGAGAATTCAGAGAAGAAGGGCAAGGGAGGAAAATTGCTCCTTGATTTAATATTGATTAAAGTATCCTCAAGGCACTGAGCCCTACAGTAAGAGCTTTGAGAGTTTGGGGACAGGAAAAACATGTATAACCCAGCCCAACATCTTAGGTAAGAAGTATCCATTAAAATTTTCACAGAGTGCGCAGTTATATCATCATGATTTAGATTATTAACTGGGTTCCTCAAAAATTTTAATGTCGTTTTGAGCTTTAAGAAAGCTTTAATAAAACTCACTCTCTCTTTGTATATATATACATATATAACACATATATATACATATATAAATATATATATACACATTATCTATCATCTATATACATACATATATACATACATATGTACATACATACATATGTTTGAGAAAGAAATGAATGGCAAACCACTCCAATCTTTGCCAAGAAAATCCCATGGACAGTATTGGCATGCTATGGTCCATAGGGTCACAACGAGTTGGACATGACAGAACAACTAAACAATGTACATATATAGCACACACACACACACACACACACACATATATATTTATATATAATATATGTAAATATTTTTATCCACTCTTTTTTTGTAATATGGCCTAGAGTTGTTTTCTATGTCAATAAAACAGTAGCCATTTTTAGGTCACATTAATGTGGGAAGGTACCATAGAATTTTAAAGCTGGAAGGGACCTTAGGGATAATCTGATTTGGCCCACACATAAGGAAACTAAGGCCCAGGGAACTAATAGTAAAACTAGAAAATTCCAATTTTGGCTCCCATTCTACAGTTTTTCCCAACAGGGTATCATTCTTGTAATAGCTTTTTTTTGAGAAATGAAACACTTATTTATGTTTCTTTTTTAGGTCAATTTGCAATTTTTTTTAACACAAGGCACTTTGCTGTTATTAATTAATTATATTAATTAAAATAATAATTGAATTAAAATTAAAAAACAACAACAAAAGAAGTTTGAGATAGTCTCTTCCCTCTAGGAGCTTACATTCTACCAGAGAGGGGGATACATAACATGAACACAAATGTAGTACAAGGAAAATTGAAAAGGGAGTAAATTAAGTAAAGGATTGTAGTAAAGATACAATAAGCAAAGCACTCTAAGTAAATGATAAAGATTGTAGAGTTTGGGACTAGAAATAATATTAACTGGATTGCCTCATGACCTTTAAAAAACTTCACTTGCTGGTAACCAAGTTTTGGAAAGACCAAGTCAAAAACTTATTACAGAGAGAATCAACAGACAAAAATGCAAGGATTTCAATCTAAAGTACTGCATCAGCTCTTAAGGTCAACCTACACATACAATGGATGTGACTGGCAGATACCTTAGTTTCTTGTTCTGAGGGCCTTAAACATACTCTAGAGCAGGGATTCTTAACCCTGGGGTCCCTGAACTGGGTTTGATAGATGATGATGATGATAAAGATAAACTATGCTTCAATATAATTCCATTTCTTTTGTTTTCATATATATTTTACTTCATTCATTTTAAAATATTATTCTGAGGAATAAATATATTAAAATAAAATGTTATTCCATAGGTTTTATCAGACTTCCAAAGGGGTCCATGATACAGAAAAAAATTTAAGAATTTGTGCTTTATTTACGGTGTGAGGTTGCTATGTGTCATATTTAAACAATTATGTTTAGCAATAATGGGAAATTACTGTCATAATAGTATACACATATATATTTAATAACATGCCCTTTCATGACTCACATTGCACAATGAAATGACCTATTTTAGAAACTCAAATTATTATTATATATTATCAGTTCTTTTACAACAGATACTCACGTTCATTAAAGTGGTCAGAAAATATGTATAGGTAATATCACCAAAAATGACATTTTTGATAACTATAACTCTTATGTGCTCAAAAAAGAAAAGGAAAGTATGCTTCCTTGTGTAGAATAAGACTGGAAAATTACTACAGTGTCCTTTGAAGGGCAGTGATGGAAAGAATTCCATCTTCTTTGTCTGTAGGCCTCTCTATTTTCTAGATCCATGATAAGTTGCATCTACATAGAACAACATAAAGAAAAAGCTGTCTGTTTCTGAATCATAAGAATATGGTCTTAATAGAAGGAATTTTCATGAGTCACCAATCAAAATTCTAGGGGTCCAGATACCTGCTTAAATTGTGCATTTTTTTCTTATGAAGTATTATGCAGTACTGAAACAAAATTGGAGCAAGTTTGTGGCATTTTTACCGGGGCTTAGCTGCTCATTTCTCTTCAGCTGCCCTGAGCATGCAATCTCTTTTTAGTCATGATCAATTAATATTTGCTGAGTATCCATTGAACCATGTTCCACTTTGCTTGAAGGAGGGAGAGATGGCTTATGCAAAAGAAAAGAAGTGGCTCAAACCTGAAACTATGTGTAGATATTTTCCTCTCTCCGTAGACATGTAGGTGTTTTCCTCTCTAATTATAATCATAATTAATTGTGCATGCATTCTCTCCCTCACTATAAATTTATTTTGTCTCCTTTCTTTCTCTTTTGTTTTCATTGGTGCCTTTTGTTCATCATTTCACATTCACTTTGAATATATCCCTCTCCATATCCCCTACACAGTGAGCTTTCCCTTGTAAGAAAGATTTGAAAGGAAAGGGGAAAACAATGATATGTACCTCTCAGGTTAATTGTGAGGATCAAATGACGTAATTGTAAAATGCTTAGCACAGTGCTTGGCATGCAGTAGGTACTTAATAAATGATTTTTTCCTTTCTTTCCCCTTATCAGATGTATTTGATGCAAAAATACTTTCCCAGTCAAAAATGTTCTTTCTTATTCTTAATGATTTTGTTTATGCAAAAGCTTTTCAGTTTTATGACAAAAATTACCTATTTTTTTGGTGACCTTTATCCCTTGTTTCATTATGAATTCTCCCCCTAGCCATAGTAATTGATCATACTCCCACCCATTTTCATCCAATTAGTAAAAAAATTTATGTACCTGTCAGGCAAGGTGCTGTATGACTATATTCTCTGCTACTAGTGAAAGCCATGATTGACAGATCATTTAAATTCAGGAGTTCTGAGCTGCTGTAAAGCTAAGGCTGTTCAGATTTCTGAACTTAATCCAACACCAATATAAGGATCTTCTGATAGTTGGATGGGTGGGGTGATCAGTCTGCCTAAGGAATAGTGAACTAACCAGGTTGGGAATTGGGCAGATCAAAGATTCTGGGCCATTCTGAGTGGGAC